ATAGAACCAAAGATGTTAGAATTGTGTCGATGTCCCAATATTTCTGGACCTGACTGTATATATTCCTAAATCTAATCCTAATTCATAAATCACAGTTTACAAATTATAATGGCTGAGTTCACATATCATGCTAAGCCAAACCAAAACCAAGTAAGGGCAGATTTTGGTTTAATGAAATTTGTGAATGTAGATAACTTTCCTTTCTATAATGGAAATTACCCCCAACTAAGCTTCTTTCCTCTTATTTGGCATGTCCAAGCCTCAATCATCTACTGCAGTGTTTCTCAACCTTGGCAGCTTTCAGATGTGTCGACTTCAATTCCCATGACTGGCTGGGGAATTCTGGGAGTTGAAATCCACACATCTGAAAGCTTCCAAGGTTGAGAAACATTGATCTACTGTCATCTCTCAATTCAAATAATTTTAGCCTAGTGTTAACCCTTCTGTCAACCTACTCATTTGATTCTGTGTTAAATATCCTAACCCTAACCTAGTAAAATATAGAGAAACTTATAGACCTAAAAATATAATTATTGAACATTTGTGTTATTTTATCAATATTCTTTAAAAACTAGCATTTTTCATGTATGCATGTGAGAAAAGAGCAATACTGCTAATATAAAAGCTAATGTAAAATTTTTATAAACATGATGGCTGCTAGGACTATGTGCAGATTAGCTACAACCTTCTAGACTTCAGCCCATACACAGATAGATCTCCCACTTAACAACTTCCTATAGATTCCTTCCTGGTAATCAAGTCACATATAAAGGAGGGCTGGGCAGCCTGTGATCCTTAAGTTCTCTTTTTATAGCCCAAGGATGACATTCTGACCGTAATTGCTAAAAACTGACAGCAGAGTTTCATGTAAACAAGAAAACACATGAAAATGATAATGTTAGCTTTAAGATAAGCACATTACAATTAACCCCCTCCCCAAACCGAGCCCCATCAAAATATATGTTATGGTCCCACTAACTTGATGGCGTTCAGCCTCACTAAACATGCCAAGTGTATCTTTTAGCCACCAAAAGAATGCTGACCTCTGGCCTAAAGGAAACTTAAGAGCTTACTTTCTTAAAGTATCTGCACTACCAGTGCAGAAAACTGGTGATGTGGTACTCACCTGTTCACCTTTTGCTTTGGGTACCACCCTCTTGTCATCCATATCACACTTGTTTCCTAAAAGCATTCGCTCCACATCTTCATTAGCATGCTAGGGTGCAATCACAGAATGGTATTTTATATTTCTGTACAGCATTCTATCAAGAACCTTATGAAAGTAAGTGCAGAGGGCACGAGTGAAATTTACAGCCCCCTTTCCTTTCATTTTGGGGGCTTGGGTTGTTGTCGTTTAAGTACAATAGGTGCATTAAACCTACTGGAAATCAAAATCAGAAAATAATGGTACTCAATTATCAAATAAATACAATAAAATATACTCAAATTATTCCCCAACTGCAACACAAGATTATATGGATACCTTGCCAAGATTGAGCCAGTTTGGATTATACTATTTTACTGGGACAATTTCACTGTGATCCTAATAATATGGCCCAAAACATGTTTAGAATTGGAGAGATCTATGATATAATAAATTAATAAGAACTGGGGGAACTGTATGAAGAATTATCTTCAACAAACATTTGAGAGCAATGCTTACATACAACAAAACCCAATATTTCAAGGAAGGTAAAATATAAATGTATTTAAACTAATTCTTGAATTAAAACAACGAAAATTAAGCTAAATTAGTAGTGTGGTTTGGAGGTGACTAGGTGGGATACTGCATCTCCACTGCATCTACATCAGGCTAAAAAATGTACTCCATGGTTATGAACTAAATAATTTAAATTAATCTAACCAAAACACAGTCCCTAAGATTGTCCTCATCAGCCACCTGTTCCTTAAAGATTACACAGCCATTATCGTGATTACTAAGCCTTACTATCAGCCTACAAAACCATTCTGGCTTTATCCCTCACTGCTTTAAGACAGTGCTTGCTCAAGTCTTGGCCATCATGTCTGATTACAATGCAAAATCTCTGAAAGTCCAAGCTGCAAATTTAAATGTACTAATATACAGATTGAGTAATACTAGCTATGAGGAAAGTACTGTACTTGGTTGGGGGGGGGGTGGAATGGCTTATTCACTGCAAAAAGCAAGATTGCCTCAAGGGATACCATTTGTCTAATATTTTCAAGAACCAAAAACACAGTGATAGATTGTAGAAGATTACTTTCTGTAGCTCTCCTATGCTGACTCTGTGAGAACATCCCTACTCCCACTTCCTCTTGATTTTACTGTTCTAGTATCTTAAATTTAGCTACTCTAAGATATTTATCCACAAAATGGCATATAAATGCATTAAGTACATGATATAATCAATTCTTATGTATTTAAAATCTATAAAACAACAACAACAAAAGAATGCTGAGACATTTTCTATAAATGCTCAAATTTGGGGCAGATGGTGTTTAAATCCCCTGGGATCAAGGATAGCATCAAACTCTTTCCAATTCTTCCATAATAAGCAGACACCCATCTGAACACATCAGGACTATCAAAATAGGAAAAAGTCAAGAATCAAAAGGTGTTTAGTTAATCTCCTTGCAAGCCGAAGTTCTTGCTAATTACAGCAAGTTATATTCAGTAACAGTGTCTTCCACCTTACCTGACAAGCATCCTATGCCTTGGGAATTTTATTCTATGCTACTTGTATTTTTGGAGTAATCACTATGATAGTTCAGGGACTGTGCAAATGTACTGGAAGAGGCTGAGCAGCTATTGATATGAATTACAGTCCAGAAGTCAGATGTTAGAAGGAACACCTTTAAATAGCCTTGTTTTAGCACAGAGAAGTAAAAGAGGAGACCAGGTTGATGGTGAGTCCGGTATTAGAAAATAAACATTTATCAGAACCCAAGTGAAGAATTTGAGGGGCTGGATAAGCCATTCTTAATACAGGTAGTCCTCAGGTTACAACTATTCGTCCAGTGACCATTCAAAGTTACAATGGTGCTGAACGAGGGGGACTTATGATGGGTCTTTGGAGTTCCGGCCATCGCAGCGTCCCCACAGTCATGTGATCACAATACAGGCGCCGGCTCACGATTACGACATCGCAAAGAGCTGCAATCATGCGATTGCAATTTCCAACATTCCCTGCCGACTTCCCACAGGCAAAGTAAATGGGGAAGCCAGCAGGAAGTCAGAAGTTGTAATCACGTGAGGTCCTCGCTTAACGTCCTGTGCAGTCCTTGTTTAACAATGGCAACTGGGATTTCTGGAATTGCCGTCACTAAGCAACACAGTCATCTGAAGTCACGCTTTATGACTGTGTTGCTTAGCAATGGAGTTCCCAGTCCCAATTGCCATCATAACCCGAGGACTACCTGAATTACATTTACAATATGTCTGAACAACAGGATCCTTAGCAAACCATAAACTATGCAATATTTTAAATGTAACAGGTCTTTCAATTATAGCAAACACATTGTGCTATACCAGCAGCCCTTGAAATGCACAGCACTATTTTTGCACCATCCCACACCAAACTGCTCACCTCATCTATGTTTCTGAGCCATTTGCTGATGTTTTCAAAGCTTTTGGCATTGGTGATATCATACACTAGCATGATTCCCATGGCACCTCTGTAGTACGAGGTGGTGATGGTATGGAATCGCTCTTGTCCTGCTGTGTCCCTGTAAAGAGAAGCAATGAAACACTGAAGAGTCTAACAAAACGTTGAATGAAAAATATTGGAAGGTGAGAAAATGGATGACCAGAACCAGTCATGACACCTACATAATTTTCAGTTTTGCTGCCCTTCGTGTCCTGTGGAAGTATGTCACACAGCCGTCATTACATTTGGGTTCTCAGACAATTACTTTGCACAACTGATGCATTCAGTGCAGCAATAACAAATTTTCCCACTTACTATAATATATTCCAATCTCCTAGTATATATTCTTAAAAAAATGGTTTACAACTTAAGAAGATACTTTATGAGCTATGCCTCCTCATATAAATACAGATTTTTTACTAGTCCATTCCTTAATACAACCTGTTGAGCTCCTTGAATTTTCTGTATTGCAAGCTAGCTTATATTGTTTGTAAAGTTGTAAAATTGTAAAATATTCGGGGCTCCCAGACAAGAGGGATGAATATAATGTATTTTTTCAATTTTGTTCCTGTTTGAATTTAGATGGATTTGACTTTGCTTTCTTCTTTCCTATAATGTGGTTCAGAATACATATTCTTCAGTACTAAGAGAGATCCAGATTTCATTTTGGAAGGCATATTCATATAAAGCAATTACTTTGTTTTTCAATTTCCTTTAAAAACAGAATGACAGAATAATATTCTTATACTCTAGAAGACACATAGTTGTGAACTAATTAGTAGACAGTTTTATGGCTGTTTGGAGGATATTTCACTGTGATGTGCTAGGAGAACCACCACCAATAGCTTTTAGATTATACTGGCTATCTTTTTAATCAAACAAAAATATATTATTAGTTAACAAAAAATAATATGTATTTTTCATTAACCATTTTGGGAACTTCATTTAAATATTCCCAAGTGGGGAACTTTATTTAAATATTCCCAAATGGGGAACTTCATTTAAATATTCGCAAATGGGTCTCTTCATAACCTGCTGCCCCAGTTAGGTTTTAGTCTACATTCCTCCAGTTCTGATTGTGAAAATGGACAATTCATTCTCTAAAAATTGTTGGAAATATAACAACCAGGTCAGATCACTTTTTTGTATTTGGTGGCAATGTCACAAAGCTCAACAATTCTGGAAAATGATTACACTGGAATGAAAAAAAAAATCTAAAAATTGGATTTCCTTTCCAACTATTTTTTAAATTAAATATTACTGAACCTTTTATTCCTACAAAGTATACTGAATTAGCATTGTGGATGGTAACTGCTGCAAGGATACTATACACTTCCTACTGGAAAGTACATATAATTCCTTCTGCGGAAAAATGGCTAATTAAGGTATGGGAACATTCCTTGATGTCCAAAATAACTTTGTATCTCAAAAGTAAATCTGACACAGAATTTAACTCAATTTGGAAACCATTTTTTAATTATAATTCTATGCAGGTAGTCCTGCAACTTACCATTCATTTAATGACCTTTCCAAGTTACAATAGTGCTGAAAAAAGTTTCTTACGCACTTACGACTGTCACAGTGTCCCCGCAGTCACATGATCAAAAGTTTGGGGCTTGGCAACTGGCATGTATTTATGATCGTTGCAGCATCCCAGGGTTACGTGATCGCCATTTGCAAATTTCTCAGGGGGCTTCCAACAAGCAAAGTCAATGTGGAAAGCTGGATTCACTTAACAACTATAGCAAAAAATGTTGTAAAACTGGGTGTGACTCACTTAAGCGCATTGCTTAGTGATGGAAGTTCCGGTCCCAATTGTGGTTGTATGTCGAGGACTACCTGTATATGGGATTGTACCCTATCTGAAATATCTGTTTCTCTAAACATAATGTCTTAATATTCTAATTCTAAAGGATCTGTTAAATCTGTTAAAGCCAGTTTGGTTTACTGGTTAAGGCACTGGCCAAGAAATCAGGAAACTCTGAGTCCTAGGCCTGCCTTAGGCATGAAAGCCGGCTGGGTGACTTTGGTCCAGCCACTCTCTCTCAGCCCATCCCACCTCACAGGGTTATTGTTGTGGGGAAAATGGGGGCCAGGACTATAGGTATGTTCGCTACCTTGATTAATAGATAGATATAGATATACATGAGATAAAAATCTAATAGTAATAATAATAGATCAACTTTATGATTTATACTGTGCTGATTACTGCTGTTGACATCTACATATTGCTTGGATTTTAACAATTACCTAAAGCTTTTAAAATGATATAATATATTCAATTATTTAAACCCAGTTAATGAATATTGAAAATTTTAACCTAATTCCATGATGCTTATAACTTCCCTGGGATATTCACTTCATATTTTATCTTTCTGTATTTTTTCCTCTTCTTGTGTCTATTTTTGGTCTTCTTTTTTCAACATTTATATATTTAAAAATGAGCAGAAACCTTTATTTCTTAAATCCTCAAGACTTCAGAAGTGTGTTCCACTCACTTTTTGTTTCACTTTTTATTCCTCTCAAATGTTCCTTGCATTTACATTCACATTCTTCCTTCTTGTCCAGATCTATTCAAGTCTCCATCCTCTTAAATTCTCTATTGACTAACTTTTGTTTTAATATTTTTAGATAGAGGTAAGTTAACACACTCAGTAACTTCTCATCTCTATCTTAGCAACTAGAATAGAATTAAATGCTGTGTTCATAATTATATCTTTGAACTATGATAATTCATAAGAATCATTAATAAATTAAAATAACATTAATTTCCTGAGGAGCTGAGGAAAATGAAGAGAGATGGCCTGCTGAAAGTTTCTGGGGAGATACTGTTCCAGAAAATGGGGGCCATTACAAGGAAGGCCTACCATCTCACTCAAGCCCTATGAACCTCACGAGGAGAGGAAAATTAAGTGACTGAAATATACCTAGAACGATGGTGGTGGAAAACCAGAACTGAAGGTGATTGAGCACTGGTACAAGCTCACATTGAAGCCTACACAGTAGCAACAAGTAGTGAAGTTACAACTCTTCTGCACAATTGTGTCTTCTGCCCCCACCTTGCTGCCACTCCACAAACAAGTTAAAGCTGTTTTATTCCAATGTGCTTTGGTCCCAGCTGACTTACTGAGGGCAGCTATCTTGAGTTTTATCTTCGCTTTTCATTTGTAACGAATTTTTGGTTTTGATATTGATCTGGATTTAGTTTTTATTATGTTTTTATTTTTGTCTGAAGTTGTACAGTACATCAAATCCTTGGGATTGGGGCAGATTATAGAAAATGCAATATAAATTTATTTATTTGTTTTTTAACACAAACTTTAAAAGGCCTATTTTTATATATGGTTGTTTGAATACTCAGATATATATTGAGAGCCCTGGAAAATTCCAAGTATAAATTAAACTAATATACAAATTACTTCTGAATTTATTAACATGTTGAATGCCACATTTACACAGTTCAAGACAACTTACAAGCATAAATATGCAATTCAAGAAGAAAAACAAATAAGCGCCATACCATCCCTTTCAGAAGGCTGGCAGAAGACTTTGTCCCTCCACTTTCTTCTAGCTCTGACTGAACCCCTTTCCTTCTTAACTATTGATGGGACAAGAATGCTATCAAAGCTGTTAAGTTAATAAGGCAAATAAAGATAGCTTTCAGTAAAGGCCTTAGGTCGAACAATATTCTGCTTCTGTACTCGGACTGAAAAGCCAGGTGCATCAAGACTGGTTTGATGAAAACTACGAGACCATTTCAGTAGCCCTTCAGGCCAAGAACAAGGCCTATGCAGACTGGCAGAATGATCCATCATCTGTCTCAAAGAAAGGCAAGTTTAAGCACCTGCAGTCCAAAGTACAGGTGGAACTACGAGAAATGCAGGACAAGTGGTGGCAGAGAAAGACAGCAATCTACAGTTGATGCTGAACAAATTCTCAGATGCTGCTATGCTCTTTGGCCTGATTATCAGCCTGAACAAGACTGAAATAATTTACCAGCCCGTGACAAATACCAATCCAGTAGAACCAAAAATCATTGCTGATGACGACCAGCTGACAAATATAAACAGATACTTGGGAAGCATCATCTCGAGTGATGGGTCTTTGGACAAAGAAATTGACTCCAGGATCAGCAAGGCCAGCCAGGCACTGGGGCGGCTGCATACTAGAGTGCTCAGTCAACCCAACTTCCATATCTGCACAAAGCTGAAAGTCTACAGAGCTGTGGTTATCCCTTCTCTCCTATATGGATGTGAGTCC